TATATATATATATGTAAAGGAATTTACCCTTCGACCTTCACCAAAATTCTACTCTTTGCCTTGTTGTATAATATTTCCACTTTGATTTTGATATATTTTATTTTATGATACTGCTTTCAGTATGTTATATACATACAGCCTTGGCCAAAATGTTTACGTACTGTTCTATACTGATGTTCTTGTCAACATGCATGGAGTTGTTATTGAGTAAATGCCCGAATAGTAACAGAGAAGGTAGCATATGAACAGACAAACATGTGCTAGTTGTTACTGTGGTCTGTATAAGTTGTTTTGAGAATTTGCTCATCAAAACATACATACGCACCTGTTTTGCATAAAAGGGTGTGGTATTGGTACAACCTTTTTCCAAAAATATTGAAGATTTGTTCAAACAGTTTCCCTGTATTTGTTGTAGAGTCATGACTCTTCACATGCCACAAGTTATAGCGAATTAAATTGTTCGACTGTCCAGAAATCGTATGCAGCAAATGGACATTGCCAGGACAGTAGGGTACCCCCCATTGCACTCTATCCAGAATCCTGAAACGTCATCAGACTATAGGAAATGTTATTCCAGGAAAGTCTATTGGTAGGCGCCAAAAATCTACTGTCTGAAATGACTGTTTTGATCACATCAACACGTCAAGGTCAAACGAAGTCTTGCAACACCTTATGACAGAAATGGCATGAACACATTAATTCCAGGGTATCCAGAATAACAATGAATTGTAGACTGACCAAACAAGGTTATTTTGCAATAAAAGCTATCTGCAATCCAGTATTAACCATAATTTACTGCTGTAACCTTGTTACTTGGCCAAGACAGCATGCCAACTTACAGTTAAGACACTGGTGACATGTCATCTTTTCAGATGATTCCGGTTTCTGGCCTGTTCAAGCTGAAGGTAAGATTCGTGTTTGTTGTTTGCTTGAAAAACAGATGAGGGAAGACTGTCTTTCCCACAGGGAACAAACATGAGGTGGCGCAGTACATGTTTGGGCAGCAATTCATCATGGGGGAAAACTGCTCTTCACCTCCTCCAGAGAAACGTCAATTACACCTCCTTCAGGGATCACACGGAGACTATATTTCTGTCATATGCTACGGGAAGGTTTATCAATATTTTTTTTGTTCCAGGCTGATAATACCATTGCCCACAGTCTCCATATTTTACAGAATTATCTCTACCAGGAGGACATTACGAGATTGCCATGACCAGCAAAGTCTGCAGATTGAAACATTGAGAACTGTTGAGCAGAACTGAGCCACAAATTGCTAACCACGACAGTAAACCATCTACTGTAGCTGAGTTGCAGTGCCTCCTAGTGACAAGTTGGGAAGAAATTATGGTGGAGTACATCAGTAACCTCATCTACAGTATGTCACGTCGCTTTATGGAGGTTATTAGAGTACGAGGAGTTTATGTTTAATATGAACTGATATAAGGTTACAGACGCTAGATATATAAAAGTTGGTGTTATATTATTGGTTTGGTATCTATAGATGCTGTTCAGAGTAAAACCATAAAACATAAAAACCTGAACACTCTCAAAGAGAATAAAACAAAACTTTATAGAGTATAAAAACTGGAACAACACAAAGTGAGAACAAAAGTGTAAACGGCATAAAAATCTAACAACACAAACATATAGCGAACAATATTTTATACAGCATAAAACCTGTAAAATACAAACATATAACGAACAATACTGTTTACAACATGAAAACCCAAGCAACACACAGAGAACTATACAACGTAGCAACATGGACAACATGCATACGTGTCAACTCCCACCAACCCCCAATACAGATCCAATGAACTCCTGGCGTGGGATCGTTGACAATGCTCTTCTCCGTAACTGAGCCCATGAAAGCGTTGCCCAGGGCCCTTTTTAAACTTTGAAAGCAGATACACCCTAATCGCCAAGAAATATAAGGTTTTTAGTACTATTATACTAATATGTCGAACTTAATAAGTATTTAAACAAAGTGTAGGTATTCTTCAGTAGGTTTACCATAGAAAGTACTAATATAAAATGCCAACACATAAAAACTTGTCCTTCGGTGAGATAGTGGTAACTTTACAGTCTTACAATGATAAAGTCCGGTGTTCGATTCTCCACGGTGGACATAGCAGATAGGTCAATGTGTCTTTGCTCTAAAAAAACAACCTAAAAACTTATCACCAAATAACTGAATAGTTTAAAAAAATGTCTCAAGAAATCTATATTTCAGGAGCAAGGAAGTAATTATCAGTCTCTCTTATATTTTCCTGTTTAAACCTTCGAGTTGTGGACTAAATCATCAGGTAACAACGTGCTCACTTTGTAAATGTATAGAAGTTGTTGAATGAATCAAATAAACAATAACAAAACAGTAGATTCAACTCTAACCAAGCAAGGTGGTGTTTAATAAACACAACAAAACTTTCATACCTTTTGGTCAAACCGCTGCAAGAAAGAACAGGTACTTCAGTTGACAGAGAAGCAACGGAGTAGTAGTTGTACCCTGGAAACACCTGAAAAGTACGTTTATTGGTTCCTGATTATAGGACCATCTGTTACAGGACAAAGATATGCAAACAAGATCATTGCTAACAGAAAGATGTGTAAGGTGGGGTCAAGCTAAGTGTGGTTAAAAGTTATTATTTCAAGTTTACCATGTTAAGTTTAAACAAAACGTAACTGAATACATTCCGAATATACTGTGTTTAAGAATAGTAGTTTTTATGCATAAGTAAATCCAGATCTATTCTAATTCTCAAGTTTCGTATAGAAAGGTCTCCATGTGGAAGTTAAGGTGCTATGGATGCAAAAAAGGCCTGCGACAAGGGGGAGCAAGCAATACGAATCCAAATTCATAAAAAAATCAAAACAAATCTTTAATAAAATTCAGGTTACGACGAATAATAACAAAGTTTCGTTTTTCCTGTAAAATAACTGCCTTTGAATATGTTCACTTGTTAACACCGGTAACTGTTAGTCACGATTAGTGATGTTTTCTCATCTGTGCATTTCGATGCCGAAGCCAAATATTCTAGGGCTGAGCTGCGGTACTACCGAATTACTTTATTGTTGGTAACTGTTACAAGTTTTAGTCGTTATCTTTGTATTTAGTGTCATTTGCCCTACACACCATTGATTTATTTATTCATGAAAGTATATGCAACTGGTAATTTACAGCTGATTTTGAGACTAGTAGGGGGAAGTCATTGCGATTAAGGGAATTTGATTATTTACATATATGTGTGCAAGATTTCTCCAATCACTTGAAAGTAAACATCATACACAAATCTGTTTCTTTACACTAATTTGTTGTGCTTCAGTATACTGATTATTCCACCCTACACTGGGTCTACTCACTGTGTGATTACTTTCATTTTAAATAGCTCAGGTGTGAAAGGTATCAATACATCTGAATTTTCATCTTTATTGTATTCATATTTGTTTAACATTTTATAATTTTGAAATAAATATGTTGATATTCAAAATTCGTGTGATTATTAGTGATTATACACGTTCATGAATTTCAGACAACCCCTATCGTACATTCTGAGAAACAATATTTTTTTTGACATGATACTTTTCACTTTTAGAATCAGTAATTTGGAATATCTATTAAAAAGAATTCCTAATATCCTATATGATGTATGTGACGTGTAGAAATAGCTTGTTGAATATTATATATTTTCAATTTTATATATTTATTTATTTTTATCGAACTACTGACATTTATTGTTTTTCACTCAGCCCGAGCAGAATTGGGAAGTGGATCTAGCGGATCTTGAATCCCAGGTTGACGATAACACTGCTGCAGTCATCGTGAATAATCCCTCTAACCCTTGTGGATCAGTGTTTTCACGAAACCATTTAAAAGCAATCCTAGATGTCGCTGCCAGGAACTTCGTTCCCATAATTGCCGATGAGATTTATGAACATTTTGTAAGTTATCATAATTACCATGTGTCTTATTCTTATTGGTTTGTCACCTCGTAACATAAGTCTAACTTCTAAATTTATATGCGTGTAATTAAAGGTGCAGACAGTACATCCGAAGCACGAAGTTAGTGTTGTTTGTAAAACATTTTTAGTACGTAAATATTAACTTCAAACTGATTAAGAAAGAAAGTGTGAGAATTTGTCTAAAAAATGTGCATGTTATTGGTTTTAGCGAAACATTACACAATAAGCTATCTGCGCTCTTGTCATAACGGGAATCGAACCCAGGATTTTAGGGTTATAAATCCCTAAACTTATCACTCACCTATCGGGGTACTTGACTAACAATATCTAAACAAATTAATTTTAAGATGGTTTTAATTTACAATTTAAACTGCCTCTGTTTTAGTCCCGGAAGTGCCCTAACAGAACCGGCATAAACCTGGGTTTTCTTCTCTAATATCACATTTCATGTTGGGTACAACAAACAAGGAAATGAATACATCTCATGACAGGGCAATATTATGAAACATCCACATAGCACGAAATATCACATCATAGCTGTATACGGATTTTTTTTTCTTTTTCCTTTAAATTATTACAAATATTAAGATCCTAAAAACATTAATTAATGAATAATAATTTACTTGTTGCTCTACTTATCTACATATAATTTGATGACGTCATAATTCACATTTGAAAGCTTACCAAATGGTTGTAGTATTTAACCTCTATCCCAGTTGATTCTGCCAATGTACGATAAAGAGGAAAGCCAGGCCTGGGAACGAGGATATTTTGACCAGGATTGGCTAACACAGTGATGCACATTTCCAACGCATGAGAACAGCCACTGCTTAGAATAACATCCTATACAATAGAGTAGAAAAACATTGGTAATATAGTTTATTTTGTTTTTAAAATAAAATACCATAAAAAAGAAGAACGAAAAACGAAATTAAAACCAAAAAGAAACATTACATGAAATCATATCAATATGACCTTCAAACAGTTATATTATTCTAGAATTTACAGAATTCTCCGAGTTTTTTAAAGAGCTATAATATATATCATTTAAATTTTAAGTTTTCAGTAAAAAAATATACATGAAACATCAGGTAGATAACAATCTACTAAATCATTTGATTATATCAAAGTTCATCGCTTATCAACTAGAAATATCCGGGGTCGTGCCCTTGTAAAGGCATACCAGTTGATGATAATTATGTTGAAAATAAATACAAAATTCAAGGAAAGAAAAGTCATCTATAAATGTTTTAAATTTAGTGATTCGCTGAGTGGAATTTGAAAATGATTTTAAAGTATTTAAAATTGAAAATATATTAATAAATGTGATTATAATTGATGCTTTACATTTCGCAAGAACGTTCTAGCAAAACAACAGCCAAGAATCTTGCATAAATCTTTTGTATCTGTATGTTAGTAACCTTAAGAAGAGAAGGGAAAATAACCTACAAAGAGCGGTGGTTATGTAACGTAATTTTATGCATTCCTATCACGTGAGATTTATAAGCTGGTTTAAAATCTAACGGAAAAACAACCCGAACAAGAACGACAGTCCCAGGAAGAGGTTAGCTGAACGTTTCGTAACTCTTCTTCCCGCTGCGCTGCCTGGATGATACTAAATCCGATAACAACCAGATATGATAATTACGATATCCACAAGGAGCCAGATTTTTGAATTTATTATACCAGGATAACTTTGACTTCAAAAGTTTTATTTTACATTCTGAATATAAGTTTTTACAGGGAATGACGTACATGGTGCATAATTACAACAGCCTCACGTCTTATAAGTACGTCATTTTCCGAGTAAACACTACGAACGAAAAATACATCTATGACGGAATGTTTTTTTGTGTTTAAGCGTGAAGCACTGTACCAACTGTGGGTGTTTAAGCCCTCAAGCATACCGCTGAGCCACCAGACTTAGACGGTAGAAATCTTGGCTACATCTCTATTGTGAAACGTGCTGCTTTGAACAAAAAGTGACGGAACTGCTTTGACGTTTCTGCCAAAGTTCTCGACTCAACTTCTACATCTCCTCACTCCAATCCACTTCCCCTGTCTTACAACAATCTTCTTGGAGAGTGAACGGTACTGAAATTCCTCACAGATATTTTGATCGTTTTTAGCCAATTGGTTCGTGTTTTCCACGTTTTCAAAATAAAAAAAAGAGGGAGGAGTGCAGTCTCCTTAAAATAACCTTCAAAACGTTTAAGGTAAGACATCTAATGTGCATTACAAGAGCTTCTGAAAAACCCATTATAGGCAGATAATTCACTTTTACTTGTAGACTTTCACTGGATCTGTTGGGCTTTCACCAAGTTCAGAGCTGGGTATGCAATTTGCCGCCCAAAACTTAGTCAACTTGCACCTAAACTTAATTATAACGTTACTATGATTACCTTGTCCAAAAATTGGTCTGCCATCATCCCAACTGGGCCAAGTACTACCATTCAAGTAGCCCCAAGAATAACCCCAATGGCAGCCTAGAGTAGGATTCCCAACAAAACACCAAAGGTCATCACGAATTCACCCAATTAAAGTAGATCACTATCTATAAGTGACATTGTCAGAAGCTGACTACTGAATTGACTGAGGCTTGGGCATTCTAGAACAATGAGGATGGCTAGCTGTGGTAGCGAGCTATGCTTCTTTTGTAACTCTAGAAGGAAGTATGTTGTTTGTGAGATGAGCTGGCTACACCCCGAGACACCATTAGAACCACCATAAAAGCTAATAAAAATACAACTACCACACTTAAGAATCTACTGACGGGGCTATAATGAGGGAAGAAATATTTTCTACTTACCCTGAGTAAATGATATATATATATATATATATTTGTAGTTTGTATATTACCTATTTAAATGTGAATCTTTTATACACCCTTTTATATCATTTATTTTATTTAAGTGTATAACCTATAAACTTATGGGTATCTCTGAACTTTTTAATAATAATTTTGAGATTTTCTTCTTTGTTAATTTATTTAACTCCTGCTTAATTTCCATATCTATTCGTTTATTTTAATATGTTGTATTCCTGTATGTTTTGTGTTCTTAGTCCAGTCAGTCAAGATTTCAACATCAAACTAATTGCAACAGAATTTTTTTTGCAAGAATAATGTAAAACTATAATTCATGAACAATACATCAAAAGTCTAGAAAAATCTAAGTAGGGGAAATTACAAAAAAAAAAAAAGATTTTAAAAAGAAAATTTTGCCATTTTATAAGTGGTACATACAAGCCAC